GTTATCCCACATGAATCTTATACTTTCTTCATGTTTTTTAAAAGCTTTTTATTTTGAATTGAGAGAAGGTTTTCAGAGCAGATCCTCACTTGTACATTCAACAAATCATATTCTTTGTTTCATTATGTGGTTGCAATCCCCTCTATATACCAACAGTTAACAGCATTTACCTTTATTCACTTCAGATATTGCATTTCTCCCTGTGTTTCCTTCTACCTTCCTGCCTTCCCTGTCACCCATGTTAACATGGGTCTAACCTTCAGCCCATGAATAATTTTCTCTCTCCCCTCCATCTTGTAACCATCATATATTGTTTTCTTGAAACAGCTCTGGTCTCATACAATGTTTGACCTAAGGAGCTCTGGTAGTGTAGTGGTTACAAATTGGGCTGCTAATCTCACGGTCAGCAGTTTGAAGCTACCAGCTGTTTCAGGGGAGAAAGATGAAGCTTTCTGCTCCCGTAAAGATTTACAGCCTCAGAAACCCTGTATAGGAGACACTATGAGTCACAACTGACCCCACGGCACATAACAACAGCAACAACAATTTCATTCAGCACACTGTCCTCCAGGTTATTTGGTATTTCACACATTCATTACTCTTCACCACTTTTTCTGTCCCATTGTACCAGTTTGTTTAACCATTCTTTTGTTGATGCGCATTTAGACCATCTCCATCCTTTTGATATGTCTCTTATAGGCTGCATATTGATCCTGTTTTTTGAATCCATTCTGCTCTTCGTGTCTCTGGACTGGTCCATTTAATTCATTTACTTTCAGTGTAATTATCAATAGATGTGACTTGATTGTTTTCATTGTGTGTGTGTGTGTGTGTGTGTGTGTGGTGCTGCTGGATTCTTTGTTACACATAATTTTCTATGCTGAGATCATTTTGTTTGTGGGTTTTCTTTTTATTTCCAATTCTGTTGTGTTAATGTTTACTATATCTTTTTGATTAAAAAAATTTTTTTTATTGTGCAGGTATATTATTTCTCTTTGAGATTACCCTATAACTTATTATTGTTTTCCCCTGCTTGATACTGTCTGTTTTATCTCGAAATTGTCTTGACTTCCTTGCCATTTGGAAGTTTTGTATCTGCACTATTCCCTCATTTTGCTTTGTAGTTGAATTCATTATACATTGATATCTCTGGTTCCCTATTTTCAGTTGTGTGGGTTTGTTTTGCTTTAAACCTTTATTTCTGGATTGAGTTCTGGGTGGTTTTGTCCTATACGGTCGTCTCAGGTTGTTGGTTGCTATTGTTGTCTCTCAGTCCAAGGATCACCCTTTAGCATATTTTTGTAAAGTTTTTCTTGTCATTATAAATTCCTTTAATTTTAAGTTTATCTGGAAATGCCTGGATTTTGCTGTTGCTTTGCTGGAGATATGATTCTTGGTTGGCAATCTTTTTCTTTCAGATTTTTTGTTTATGTCATCCCATTGCCTTCTTGCCTGTATGGATTCTGCTGAGAAATCCGAGCTTAATGTCTTGCTTGGTTCTGCTGTGGCAGTTTCACTGCGGCTGCTCTTCTCCATCTCTTGCCATCTCCAGTGTCATAGTTATCTCCTTGATTGAGGAGTTCAGCCAATGAGACTCTGGTCCAAAGGATCTGCTCCCCTCCTAACTCTCCGTTCTTCTAAACTGTGTTGTCACATTGTTGCTGTCAGGTGCGGCAGAGATGCTTTTCAAATCCTAGAAACACCCTGTTATAGAAGAACTACTCCTTGGGGGTTTCTTGGCTGTAACCTTTACAGAAGCAGGGCAGCCATTAGGTAGATTCAAACCACCAACCTTTCTGATTGCCATGCACTGGTGTGGGTGGAGTGGAGTAACTCGTTCCTGCCCCTATCATAGTTCTGCTCTGATAAAGCTGAAGAAAAGTGATTGCACTTTTTAATGTTTCAAATGGCATGCATTGCCTTTGTGTTCCTTTCCCAGTTCTTTTACAGTTTTTTCTTTATCATCTTATAGGAAGTCTGTGTTCCCTAACACAACAGCTTCTCTTGTCCATATACTTCAGTTCCTGAATGAAAAACTCCAATTCCATTGGATGGGGTATATCCATTCATACAGTTTATATCGTACACATTGAGCACCACCAACTGGTTAGCCCCCATCCTCCTCCCTGAGGCCGCTGCCTCATCCTTAAGCTCTGTCTCCTTGGAGCTGGAGGCCGCTTCCTGCGGTTGCTTCAAGGGGCCTGAACCCAGCACTAAGCGTATTACCTGGCCCAAGGCAGCCAAGGTAAGAAAGAGCATCTGGTAGCTGGACTGCTCCAGGGAACTGCCAACATCACCCTTGGCGAGGATGGGTCATACCGGTGGTGGCCTACACTGGCTCAAGCCCTTCCCCTAGGTACTTCCTTCAGATTTTTTCTTTCTTTTTTTTTTCCGATTGTTCTTCTAGTTTACTAGTATTGAGAGATTGATCTTCAAGCTCACTAATTCTGGCTTCTCTTGATTCAGATCTATTCCTTTGCCCTTTCAGTGTAGTCCTTTTCTGATATCTTAGAATTAATCGTCTTGATTTCTGTTTGCAAGTTTTGTATTGTCTCCAGTCCTTTATCTATGTTGTTTGAGTGTTCCTGGGGTGCTTTTCTGAATTCTTCCTTGTTTTCCTCGACCTTTCTGTCAATCGTTTGAAGGTACATAAATATCATTTTCCTGAATTCTTTATCAGGTAATTCCGGTGCCTTATTTCCCTCAAAAACACTTTCTAGCTCTGCTCTTGGTCATTTGTTTGAGCTTCACTGTCATGTTTCTTCGTGTTAACAGAAATTGTCTGCTGTTTTTGAGGCATTGTGGTATTGTATTTGTACAACATATATAAAATATAAACATTTGTAAATATATATAAATATATATATATATATATAAACTGGCAACAGCTTTCTTTCCACCTATAAGTTGATGAATGTATGTTGGTGTATTCTTAGGCATTCACCAGCTGCCTCTTTGTGAGTGTGATCAGGAGATGAGCTTGTGTACCATTCTCTGTTCACTGTTCATACAGTTCATTTCAGTGTGGATTTTAGCTGACATTCATTATTGTTGCTGATCTGGTGCATATCAACTGGTCTTGGCTATTGCCCAGTTGGTGGAGTTGTAGAGGGTACAGCTGGGACTGACTGGGCTTTATGGTCACAGTTCCTGTCTCCTGTTGGGTGAGGCAAGAATAGAAAACACACACACAAGAGAGAAGGTGAATAAACAAACAAACAAACAAACAAACCATTAGACAACAGCGAAAAAATAAAATAGCAATGAAGAAAGAAGAAGGAGAAGAAAAAACAACAATAACCAAAAACTGTTACCCGTTTTCTTTCCACCAATAAGTGTATCTACTGTGTTATCTACTGGCCCCTTCCCTTCACAGCCACTCTAGAATGTTCAAGATGGTCTGATCAACGAAGATACCCAGTCTTTCTTCTTCTTTTTTCCCCCTCTACCCCATGCACCCATTCATTCATTCGCTTCTCCTAGTGAGAGCCAGTCCAGGGCTGGTCCTTGCTGACCTTGCAGATTTGGAGCAGGGTTCGCCTGAGCAGGGTTATTGAGGATAACTCCTCTCCCCTTCAATGCGACTTAACTATGGCATTCACCTCCGACTACCAGGAAAACAAGAGCTTCCTTATGGCTACACTGGTGGAGGTTGAACAAGAAAAATAAATTGTATGTGTGTTCTTGCAAGCTACAGCTAGGCTCTGCTACGTTAATATGCTTTCTGTGTCTGAAGCCACTCACAAATGCTCAAGGTGGCTGCGGTAGGTTCCGTTGGTTGCTACAGCTCTCTTGCTGTATCTGCTCAGCTTTCTCTCCCACTTCTCTATCCCGCCATCTGAAGCTCAGAGTTCTAGGACCACCTGCCATCTGAAGCTCAGAGTTCTAGGACCATCCTCTGTATCTGTCTCCTCCAGAGGGTCTGTTCAGCGCTTCTGCCTGGATCGCTATCTTGCTCCACCTCTCCTGGAGTTTGGACCTTTCATGCTGTGTGCTGGTGATGGGGCATCAGGGCAGGTGTGTTGTGCATCAGCCGCTGTAGAGACCATGTCAGTGACTAACTGCAAGGTCAGCAATTTACACCACCAGCTGCTCCACAGGAAAAAGATGAAGCTGTCCGCTTCTGTAACAATTCACGGTCCCCAAAACCCTATGGGACGGTTCTGTTCTGTCCTGCAGGGTCACTAGAGTTGGAATCGACTTGATGGCAGTGTTTTTTTTTTTTTTTTTGGTGCCATCAAGGAAGTGGGGAATAGTGTGGGGGAGGACAGGTAGACAGTTGAGCACCTTGGAGCCAGGGAGCTAAGCTTGATCTGAAACTAGACATGGTGAGGAAAAAGAGAAGAACTTTTGGTTGGGGGAGAATTGACAGGACATGGGGTATATGTATGAGGGACAGGAGATGTTAGGGACAGCCACTTGCTCCTGCCCAGCATCCCAGCTTGGTGGCTAACTCTTCTGGCCAGCAGTCACAGGGTCTCCTGGCACACAGGTGTGGCTGTATATGTGATTATATAGGGGTGATGGGAGTGGGCTGTGTGAGTGACATGCTGTTGAGTACATGAGAGGGCCCCAGTGTACCCACGCCAAGCTGGACGAAACACTGGTCAGGGACTGTGACTGAGCAAGGGGCTGGCTGTGTGTAGGAAGGACTGTTTGAGGATAATGGTCACTTTGGAGATGAGGGTGGGGTTGAGTGATCATGGGTCCCTGTGGCTACCCTACAGCCTAGTCTGTACCAGAATACCTGTGTGGCGGGTGAGGGTGTGTGGGAAAGGTTGTTTCTGCACAGTGACTGAAGGCTCCTGAGGCGGGTCCAAACCCTCGCGTGTGCAGGTTTGCGCGCACACATGTGTCCCTCATAGGCATCTTTTCTCATCCCTCAGGGCCTGAAGGAGAAGGGGACATCCAGTGCTGAGGTGGCGCCTGCTGGCTGTGGGACGATGGTGTTGCTCTGTGGTCCCGCTGCAGCCTGGCTGGCTCTGGCCCTGGCCCTGGCCCGTCCGGCCATGGCTGCCCCCCCACCCCAGGACTGCACGGGCCTGGAGTGCCCGCCGCTGGAGAACTGCATTGAGGAGGCGCTGGAGCCCGGGGCCTGCTGTGCTACCTGTGTGCAACAAGGCTGTGCCTGCGAGGGTTACCAGTACTACGACTGCCTACAGGGTGGCTTCCTGCGTGGCCGTGTACCCGCCGGCCAGTCCTACTTCGTGGACTTTGGCAGCACCGAGTGCTTCTGCCCACCTGGTGGTGGCAAGATCAGCTGCCAGTTTATGCTGTGTCCAGAACTCCCTCCCAACTGTATTGAAGCTGTGGTGACCTCGGATAGCTGCCCGCAATGTGGCCAGGTGGGCTGTGTCCACATGGGCCGCAAGTATGCTGCTGGCCATACTGTCCACCTGATGCCCTGCCGGGCCTGCCATTGTCCTGAGGAAGGTGGCAGGCTTATCTGCTACCAGCTGCCTGGCTGTGACAGCGATGCTGAGGCCCTGCCCACCACTACACCCACCACTGGGAACTTCTCAGACACAGAGGAGGGTGACCTCAGACGGCACTATGAAGACCCCTACAGCTATGACCAGGAGGTGGCCGAGGCGGAGGCGGAGGCCTTGGCGGGCGAGCTCCCGGCAGCAGGCGCAGATGGCATGGCTGCTTTGGGAGATGGCAGTCAGCCCCTGTCTGCCATCCAGGCTACACCCTGGCCTGCTGCTCTCCCCAGACCCACAGCAGCCACTGCCCTAGGCCCCCCAGCCCCTGTTCAGGCCCAGTCCAGTAGAGTGAAGGAGGACAGTGAGGAGGAGGAGGCAAAGGAGGAGGAGGAGGATGAAGGAAAGAAAGAGGAAGAAGGGACGGAAAGGACTGTTGTGAAACAGCTGGCTGTGGGTGGTCCGAATGGACTGGTGGGGTTACCCACTGCAGGCCTCCCAGTTCAGGAGGTAGGGGCGGAAGCCCGGGCAGGGCCTGAAGAGAACCTCCTTCCTGATGCCCAGCCTACCCTTCACAGTGTAGGGCAGGAGGGAACCAGGCCTGCATTGGCATCCAGTGTAGCCAGCCTTGTCCCCACGCCAAGTGCTGCCAAGCCCAGTGCCCCCACCATCCTGATTACACCACAGCAGGAGGTAGCCCAGGGCTTCTCAACCCAGGAGGCAGCTAGGCAGCCGAAGATTCTGCCCCGTCCCCAGGCTGTAAAGGACACAGACCCCAACTCTGTGCATTCCACCCCCAGACGTGGCCCTGCAGGTAAGACCTTTTCCTTGTTTATCTAGATACTCCGCCTGGCTGGGGGGTGGTGGACAGTCTCTGGTCTCTGCTCAGCCACCCTGAGCTTTCTCAAATGGGTTTTGGAATGTGGCCCTTAGCGAGGGTTGCTGGAATATGGGGTCTTTTCCCAAATTGCTCCTCTGCCTTCTAAAGGCACATGTCCTGAGGGGAAAATGAGCAGGGCTTGGATAGGGATATGGAGAGAAGGGGATATGTGGGGGCAAGGGACTATCGTGTTATTGTTGTTGTTAAGTGCCGTCGAGTCGATTCCGACCCATAGTGACTCTGTATAGGGTTTCCAAGGAGCAGCTGGTGAGCTTGAACCGCCGACCTTGCAGTTCAAACTGCTTTGCAGTCTGGCGCATTAACCCACAGCACCACACCAGGACTCCAGGGGCTATCTTGTGTTGTTGTTGTTATGTGCCGTGGAGTTGGCTCCGACTCATAGTGACCCTGTACAGGGTTTCCGAGGCTATAAATCTTTACGGGAGCAGAAAGCCTCATCTTTCTCCCGTGGAACAGCTGGTAGTTTCAAACTGCTGACCTTGCGGTTCTCAGCCCAATTTGTAACCACTATGCTACCAGAGCTCCTTAGGGGCTATCTTAGGGGACCCAAAATGAGGCCCTGTCTGATAAACCAGGGCCAGCCTGCCATCCACAGCTCCAGCTACCCCTTCTTCCCTCTCACCCACATTCCTGCTTCTACTGCCTGTGTGACACAGGCAAGAGGTGGGACTGTTTTGTATCTCAGTTTCCCCATCTGTAAAGCAGTGGAGAAGAAATAACCTCTGCTTTCTGGGAATGCTATGAGGATTCAGTGAGTGCTTGTCAACCACTCTGTTCAGAGCTTAGTACTTGCTGAGTAATTCAAAACCCACTTCTTTCTTCAGCAGATGTCTGTGAGTCTTCTGTCTGGGCTGGGGGTCACACCAGGGGATAGGCACGACCTCCCCTTTTTGTGGTCTTATGAAGGAGGAGGGCATTAAATAGACAGATAAACACAGATTTATCTGTGTTGATTACTAAGGGTGTGCCGGCAGGCTGGAGGCTGTTGAGCACCCTGGGAAAGTGGGGTTGGGCTGTGGTTGTAGGGACAGGGCTAGGGTCCTGGGTAGTGGAGGAGCTTTCGGTGGGGAGAAGTTGGGAGGATAATTGACTCATCAGAGAAGTTTTCTGTGGAGAGGCAGGCAAGGGTAGAAGGGACCCCTCAGCCATGTTGCCTGGGGAAGGAGCGAATGCTCCAAGGTTGGGGTGGGGGGTCCTGCTTTTGAACCAGAGCTGTGCCAGGGATCCGGGCCATCCCAGCTGGGCCATCCCTGGTTTTGAGCATGTCCAGATGTGGCCTAATGGAAGCCACATGCCCAGTTCCCTGTGCTAGAAGAAGGGGATGACATCTGTTGTTGCTCAGGGGCCTTTGAGAAGGCGGTTTCTCCCTCTGACCTGGCACAGTGGAGGCAGCTATGGGCTCTCTCCCACATCTGGCCTCTTGGGCCATAGAGCAGGGAGCCAGGCTCACCCTTGGGACAGGTTCTGGGAGAACTAGAGGCTGCCCTTCCTGGGTAAGTCCTGGAACCTCCTCTGTGGTCCCTCAAGACGTGTGTCAGCAACATGATCCCTTCTTCCTGGGTGCTTTTCTTGACCAGAATCTCCAGGGGTGGGGTTCTCAGACCACTTTAACATTCTGGTTATCAGCGAAGGTCCTTAGAATTCTAGTTACTGTTTATATCCATTGCAGATGCTGTCTCACACATGGGACTTATGGTAAGCATTCTGCAGCCTTGGGCCCCTCTCGCCTTCCCATTATCTCTGTCAGGTTGGTGCTCATGTTTCCAGGAGAGAAAAAGGAGTGCCCGAGAGGGCAGACCACCTAACAGAAAGTGGTGACCCAGACTTCTCCAAGATTTATTCTTTTCTCCACCCACACTTTTGAGTGTGCATGGTCTGCGTGGTGCATTCTGGATGTACAGTGTAGACAAAGCCCAGCAGAGCCCCTGCCTTCAGGGAGCTTTACAGGGGAGGCAAAGGATTCAACAGTCCTGAAGACGTGTAGGTGTGAGCTATGATGTAACTTTGGATCCCAGACCTGGGGCACTGCCAACCTGTCTGGAGGGTTGACTCATCCTGGAAAGCAGGGAAGCTTCCTGAAGGAAGTTATGCTTGTGAGGAGATATGGAGTGTAAGGGCTGTTCACCTGTGTGGGGAGCAGTCCTCCAGGCAGAGAAAATAGCACCTGCAAAGGCCCTGTGGCCAGAGAGGACTTGGTGAGGGGGAGGAGGGGGAGCATGCTTGTTCTCAGGATGAAGTTTTGGCCTCTGTTCAAGGGGAGTGGGGAGTCACTGAAGGTGTCAATCAGTGGGGGCATGGGCATGGTCTGACAGGGGCTTTACAGCTTTCCTTCTGGGTGTAGGGAGAAGACGACAGAAACAGGGCTGTGGCCCCAGGAGGCAGCACTGGGCCTTCCTGGTTTCCCTGGTTTTTCAGGTCCCCTAGTATCACCTGGGGAGTCCTGGTTTGGCACTGTGGGCTAATGTGCTGGACCGCAAAGTTGTTTGAACCACAAGGTCAGTGGTTCAAGCTCATGAGCCGCTCCTTGGAAACTCTATACAGGGTTGCTATGGGTTGGAACTGACTCAACAGCACTTTTTTTTTTTTCTTATATGATTTATTGTGAATTATGTGTGTAAGGACCAAACTGATTTTGCCTACCTAGAAACTGCTTGACTAAACTCTAGTCAGGCTCAGGAAAGCATTTTAAA